ACTAGAAGCTCTGTTAAGAACACTATAAAAATATAATAAATAAATACCTATACCTAGGGTTATAATTTCCCCTAGGTGATTTTTCCAAGCTATTCCTGTTTTGTTAGCCATATCTGGCTGCTCTTTTCCTCATTCAATAGATGTTAATCACTTGATTATCTGTAAATGGAGAGTCATGAATGACAAATGTGATTCTACAGTCCTTGAATTTTTTTTCCCCCAAGATGCAAGGAAAAAATAGAATAACAACAGCTAACTTATATCCTTTTTCAGAAAAACAAAAGGTGACTTATTGAGAAAAACCAGAGTTACATCAATTAAAAGAGCAGATGAAATAAAAATGCAGGGCCGAATTAAGAATTTTGCAGACCCCCCCCCGAAAAAAAAACTCGCATATCTGAAACAGATAAGCCATATTTTGGATAAAAGTCTAGGTACTTTTCCGTTTTGCCGGCGCAAGCGATAAAGTCGCCAATAATGGTACAACCGATGCCAAACGGAATATTCTCGCTGGTAACCTTTTACGCCTCATTTTTCAAAACAAGTCGCAGCTTTTTCCTATCAGATTGATTGTTTCTTTCAATACTGGCACATAATTTTATAGAATTTTTATCAGATAGTTCAGTTTTATGTCTAAGGCCATTTTCGGTAATTAAATCAATTAGGATGCAATCCTAATTGATTTACTGAATCGCTTACCCGAAGCCGAAAATATAGAAAAGGTAAAGTCAAGGGTTAAATTCATCAATTCTAATGAGAATGCATTAGCGAAGTAAAGCACTGCAGTTTTACATAATTCCTGAGTAAGCTATTCGTACGAACTGAAATATTTCTTGCATTTAAACTTGTGTTCCAAATTAAGATTTAACTTGAAATTAATGTACATAGTTACTGAGAGCATTTGATTTTTGTAGAGTAGTTTAAGTGAGATGAGATCGCTTGGGGTCACGTGATAGAAACCGGCGAATCAGGATGTTGAACCATGAAAGCATAGTAAATTCTTCAATTAATGTCTTTTCACAAATTTATTGTATTTATTTATTGGCTTTTTATAAAAAAAGCGATATTAAAATGTTTATGCCTTCAAAAAAAGAATTCTTAGAACTAACATTTTTTAAATATTTTTTATGTGTATACTGTATGTTGTTGCCAATAAAGTCTTCTTGGCGAGATTTGCGCCGGCGAAACGGAAAGTATATTTACAGGTACCCCTTGTTGAAAACTGACGATACATGGATACCGAATTTGTGCAATTCTTTGACTAGGTATTGCGCACTCCCTTGACTTGATCTATGTATACATCAACCTATTTTCACTTTAAAAAGAAATCGCAGAATTGCACAAACTTGGCATTGTCCATGTACATATAGATATATTTTCACTTAAAAAGTCAAAGGAGCACCCAATTCTAGGTAAAAGTATATTTACGGAACATTCAACTACTCAGGTTACCTTAAACGAAACAACAACTTCGTGATAATATAAGGGGTACCCTTCAGTCTACTCTAACCATATTTTGTTCTAAAGGAAATGCGAGATTATTTGAAAAACAGTATTTAAAATCGAAGTCTACTCATTGAAATTCACAGAAAAATATTTTCCAGAAAATTAACACACTAAAATTAATATAAAAATTCATAAATTTAAATACATTAATACATTAACCCAAGCATTAAAAGAATTTACTACAGAAATATGACAATGTTGTGTGGAAATGTTGGTTATTGGCTTATTATATATAACACCCACAGGAATATAAAATATATTAATAAAAATTAACCAAGGAGAAAATTCTGAAATATTTCATTAAATGCAAAAACGCATGCAGTTTAAACAGTTTTAAGACTAAAATGAGCAAACGAATTTACCCATAAAGAAGAAATTTTCCACATCACTGTGCTAGTTCAAATTTTGTTACGTAACTTAGCAGCACAAAATCAAAAACACAAAAGTTCTTTGCAAGCAAGAATTTCCATAGAGGTTAACAGCGATATCACACATATATTAACGTCATTACTCTATAACAAAGAAGCGTATTAATATGAAACCGAAAGAATAATTTCCTTAATGTATACATGAAATAACACGCAATGTGTTACGAAAATGTTATGAGAAACTAAAATAGCGAAAAACTTACGGTTCTAGTTTGTGATGAAATAATGCTGTATAAAGAACCTGTAAATACTCCTTGTCTAGCGTTTTTGGAGCATTTTCAACAACTTCTCGGACTGATTTTGTTTTTCTATCACCATTCCACATTCTCAAGATGAATCGCAGATTACAAACACATCAAACTTCGTCGATAAAGAATAAAATTAAAAAAACCCACATTAAAATAATATAAAACTCTGTAAGAACATAGGATTTAAGACCTTTACCACCAATATTATCCAGTTCTTTTTCACTGTAGACAGACAGACAAAGTAGACAGATGTCTTGTTTTGCACCCGCTAAGTCTTTCTGCACCGATGGGCGAAAAATCAAGCATAGGTGCGAAGGAAAGGTATATAGAAAGAGGGGCAATTTCGTATTTGAGGAGAGTAAAAAGGAACTTCGTACATCTTGTACGAGTTCAAAAGGCCGAAAAGATGGGACAAAATAAAATTTAAAATAAATGGCCCAAAAATAATAGAGGGAAAAAAAAAAAAAAAAAAAAGGGCCTATAGAAAGAAAAGGAAAAGAAGTAGAAAATATCCTAAAATACGATTGTGTCCATGAGTGTAGTTAAAAGGAGAAGAAACTGTCTTCATTTACAATAAATAGTGTCTCACAGGTGTGTTTGTGTAGTGAGTGTGTTTGGTAATGGTGAATAGATGTGTTACTGGGGAAAAAACAAATATTGACGGTGTTAAAATGCTTCGTATCAAGGTATTTAGCATGGAATATAAAGTAATATGTACGCTTGCATCCTGAGATATCAACAAAGGTCATCAAACAAAAGTATATATTAATTTAACCAAAGTAACTTATGCTACTTTCATTCTCAACATTTTCATACATTTTTCAAAAAGCAGCAGCAGACTAACAACATAGAACCATATACAATACAAGACCACAACCGCATACACCCAAAAAAAAAAAATAAATAAAATAATAAAATAAAATATATATATATATATGTGTGTGTAAATTACTGAGTATATGTATTAAAAACACAAATTAAACAGTATTTATTAATTTAACTATCATAATTTATTACAAGATTAATTATTTTACTATCATAATTTATTACTAGTTAAATAATGTTAATATAACACAATGAGGCACACTGTTATTTATATAAGCTCATAGTTCTAAAAATTCATTTAAGGCGGTGAAGAATAAACCATCCCTTACATATGGACATTTAACAGATAGCAAAGAACAGTATGAGAAAAAATCGGTGAGGTATAATATTATTTAAAGGCGAAACTATATTCAAGCGATCTAGAAAGAAAAGAGAATCCAGAAGATCCGAGAGGGAAATAGCGCGATGCCCAAATTATCCCTCTCATCCCCAAATTTTCCCTCTCTCGAGATTCCTTAAGGGCTTTGTAAGTGTTGACAGACGTGAACTGATAACGCTGGCGTCTGTTTCGAGTTGATACACAAAGGAAGCCACAAGCAATGGCAATTTCAAGTATTTTTTAATGCTTTAAACTGATGAAAAATTAAGATTTATTGATTTAAAGGCACTTATTTATAGAAATTTGATTTAGTTTAGATGAAAGAAAAGTACTTATCTTAAAATTCCAGGTCTTTTGAAGTATATCCGTACATTGTCCGCTGTTTTATTCTCGTCAACATCGGAGCCGAAATTCATTGTAATGATATAGGTTTTGTAGACGAAAAATAAACATTTTTCAAAGAAATTTAATCGATAATCACCAAGAGGAAAGAAAAAATTTTCACTTTTTTACGGAGCGCAGCGATCGTGCTGCCGCTTGCCTCGGTGATCACACAGCCCTCTTTTCAACTCCATTCTACCAACAAAAATTGCCAAAAAATCCTCTTAACTGCACTGAAAAATACAAGCAAAATAAATATAGTTGTTACCTAAGGTAGTATTTTTTAATTGAAACACTTAAATCACAAATTAAATGCAAAGTTTGTTAGCAAGATCCAGTTAAAAATACTGAAAAGTGATAAAACTTCCATAGCTCCCGTCTCAGGGAGGTTTGGGGTAATTAAAAAACCCACACATTCTGGATCGGCGAGAAGGAAGAGATTAATATCTGATTAATCTCCATTAGATGTCAATTTTGATACAGTACTGATAATTCTTATAATTTCTTCGATTGTTAAACGTACTTATGTAAGAAATCTGATTATATCAAAATTTTAATCATGAAGATGCATAACTGAGCAATGATAATAACAAAGTTTGATAAGTATGAATTTCATACGAATTTCATTAGTTTTATTATTGCTGTTGAAACTATCGCTAAGTCAAAACCAGTAAAGGATTTACGTATAAGCTGAACAAGAATCTACGTTTAAGCTTAGGGCCTCCAATTTCTTGGGCCCTCGAAAAATTGTAGCATATCCTACAATTTTTATCATATCTCTCAAGAGCCCCTTATCTCAAATAGCTTAGGATCTCGTCAAATCTAAATCTGGTCCTGATCAAAACTTGCAGTTTTGCGTTTGAGATTTTGGATTTTGTTTTGCTTTTGATAATTGTTAATATTTCCCCTTATTTAAATTACAAGAATAATAACAGAGGAAAACAGCTTCGAAAGGTCAGAAAACAAAAGTGTTTTTGGTAATAAATTAGTCGGAATGACGTCCGAATATTTAATATATACAGTTGCTGCACTACGGCTATATTATAGTTTGTGATATAAAACGTTTATTTTTTGCCTTTAAAGAATTAGTTTTAGCTGTTCAAAAGCATTTTGAATGATATATAAATTAATTTGTTTTCAAGAGAAAAGTTTATAAGAAAAACTAGTTTTGTAAAGACTTGCTGCCATCGTTTGTTTAGAAATTTTGCCCCTCGTTCATTTAATATGTAGACCGGCTGTTGTTGTGCTGGTCATAAGAGCGTTAATGTTTCTTAAGGCGTATCCGTTAGATTTGTTAGAAAGGAAAGACATTTCAGTGATTAAGCATATATTTTTTAGGCTTGTATGCGTTATAAATGTAAATTTCTTTTTATCTGTTGGTTAGATTTTGAATGTTCGTGTATGCGCACAGTCATCTCATTTTAAGCCTAACGTAACCTATCTTTCAGCGTGCCAACGTGGTGTGAGTTGAACTTCACAGCAGTTGGTAAAGTTGGAAAAATAATTTTTCTACTTATTGAACTACTAGTAGGGATCAGGATCTGCGTGGACTTCAAGTGAAGGCTGTCACTTTTCCATCTTTTTTGTTTTAATATTTTATTACTTTTACGCTGATAAGTTTTGCGTCATCTGTTTCATAATGTCGTCAACCGGGTACAACTTAGAAGAATCTAGTGCTGATAGGAATGTAGAAATATGGAAGATAAAAAAGTTAATCAAAAGCTTAGAAGCAGCCCGAGGGTAAGAATTGTTTGCTTGCTAATATGTTTGACTAATGTGAAGTAAAAGTACTTGTCCTTTAAAATGTTTAACTGTCGATCAGTTCTCTAAGTTCTTGTTTATGCTAAGAAATATATTAATGTACATAAATACAAACTCGTAATTCTGGAACGAAATAAATTTTATTTATATTTTCCTCCTAAGTCTTAACGTATGGTGTATTAATCCTGAAGTATACCGTTAGTATTGTTTATAATGTGAATTAATATTATATATTCTTTGTTTAATCTTGTTTGAGTGTTTTATGCTTCCACATTATTTCAGAAATTTCCCAGTTCATCTTTTAAAATCTAGTTACTGAACAAGCACATAAAGAATTTAGCTTTTGTATCCCAGCTGTTTGCTTGTCATTTGTTCATTTTATGGCTTTGTATAATTTTTTTTTTTTTTTCCAGAAATGGTACTAGTATGATATCTCTAATTATACCACCAAAGGATCAAATTTCAAGAGTATCAAAAATGTTAGCTGATGAATTTGGAACAGCTTCCAATATTAAAAGTCGAGTAAATAGGCTATCTGTTTTAGGGGCAATTACATCTGTACAGCATAGATTAAAATTATACACTAAAGGTAAGCTTCCTAATTTTTGTTTTCTGTTATGTTAAACTTGAAACTTTTAAGTATGTGATTTCTGTACTAATAGTATTTAGTTACTGAAGACAAGTAATGATCATGAAAAATATCAAATTACTTCAAAATTATGCCAATTTTAACACATCTTATTGTTTTTAACAAAAGTATACAAGATATGATGTCGTTATGTACTATTATAGCATATCTTTTGAATAAATTTTAAAATTTTTTGCTATAATATTTCTAATAAACTCATTAATTATAAGCATATTTACTTTTAATAACACTTTTAGTGACAAAATATGAAACCAAAGCTATATATTTTTCATTTTAACTCCATGATTTGAAAAATCATTTAAAGATTTCAGTCTAATATATTGATCTCTTAAGGAATTGCTTTATAATAAATTCTTTTAAAAACTGTAAGAATTTCAAAATTTGAATCTGTAAAATAGTACAAGACGTTTTATTAAAAAAGAGTAGGAATAAATTAATCTAAGGTAAAGAAAGTCCTAGTATACGGTGCAGCCTTGGCGTGATTTTGAAAATTATTGCCAACACCAAAATGACCCGTTTACTACTCATTGTATATGTTGTGTTTACTGCTCAACATAAAGTAGCCAAATCCCGCTTGCAATGTATACTAGGATTAAACCGTTAATATAATTAAGTATATAATAAAAAAAAAAAACAGTTATTTTCTGATTATTCACAATCTTAATTTCAATATAATGTAGAATGGTATTTTGGGATTATCCTGTTGACCTGTAAACACGCGTGAAAATGTGCAGATCCGTTGGTGCTATCATAATGAAAAGCAATTTCCAAAGTAAACATTCTACACACATTAAATTTATCAAATAATAATAACAAAAAATGTAAGCATAATAATACATAATAAAAGTGTAATAAAAAGAATCAAAACAAAGTAAGAACCTGTATTATTTTTATAATTACACATTGAGTTATTCTTGAATCTTACTATATATATTATTATAAATCATTTCAGTGGCCAAAAATCCTTGATAGCTTTTTAAGTGCAAACAAAGAAGTCATCCTTGCACGCTCTCCATCACATAAATTCATTTAAATATGAATCCAAGTGTTTTCGGGTAGTTCCTCTGTGTTTCTCGTTTTTCCATTTTGCCAAACCCCACAGTTGTTCTATATTTTGTATATGTGTGCCAGTTTCAGGATCCAATATTATATTGGTGATTCATTTTAAAGTGTTTGAATACCGAACTTCTCCACGAGTATGAGAAAATTGTAGTTCCTTCTCCAATATTGTTCAAAATTTAAGCCATTAGTGCATTTCAATTGGGAACCTTTACAATGAAACACTCATTGGTCTCTCTGCAGAGTCTCCCAAATATCCATTGTTCTGGAAGAATACGACTGATCATTGTTCTTGCACTTTGTAAAAAGGCTCTCATCTATCTACAATTTTTTTCGCATCTCGTGTTTGTTTCAAATAACATTGTAGAAATACGAGTACACACTTCCCTCATAATTGTTCCAGCCAACAATTGTCTTTTCTGTTAAATTCATCTGTTTTTCAATTGATAATAATTCTTGCGACCAGCAGTAAATAAAGAGGAGGGTAGTTATGAACAGGAATTTTTAGCCCTCCAACCATGTGCCTTTTCGAAAAGCCACTCTTTTATTGCGCTGCATTGCATTGCCATTATTTATCAGTTTTGATATACCATGCCATATCGTGGCCATTAATTCATATTTTCTTAGAAGAAATGACACCATGCTCTTGAAAATGTCACTGCACTCACTTCAGTGTTAGGCAAATCCCAAATTTGAATCATTTTCCAGTGGAGTAAAAAAAAGCAGTATATTTTAACACGCTAAAGAAAACTAACTCACGCAGTCAAGGATTACACAGTTATTGGTGCAGAAGCTACCTTTTGATGATAATATTGGGTTTGGCGAAAATGGTGAATGGGATAATCCCAAAGTGCTGGTAGAATTAGCATGTTTTGGTATATTATCATGTATACACATGATAGTATCCAGTCCCCTTGTATGCATATCCTACAGTGTTTGAGTACGTATGGCTATGCACACTTTATATTTAACTTTCATTTTGCTGATCAGTGTTTTTTGGTTATTTTCCATGATGGGGAAAGAAACGCATCTCCGTATATGCTACAATTTCATAGTTCGAGCAAAAATACTGTTTGTGGTTAGCTAATTTTGACTCTGGTAAAAGTTTTCTGAAGTGAGCTGTACATCTTTAATTTCAGTAAACATAAAATGGCAACTTTTTGTTAAGATGACTTTTTACTTTATTTGTTTTTAAATATTATAAAAACTTTTTATTATTATTATTATTTCAATACATGAACAAAACAAAGCATTTTTTGCTAATTAACTGGTGACTGTTTATATGGTGGGAATAATCAGAAAGTGCCAAAAATTATTTTTCAATTTTGTTTTTGTTATAGTACTAGAAAGTGATAATGATTGTAGTGTTTTCCATTGTTTGCGGCACCAAACATAATTGTAAGAGATTTTTGTGCAGGACATTTTTAGTATTTTGTAAATAAATTCAGCTAATTCACCAATATAGATCATAAAATTACTTTTATCAGCAAAAGCAAGGACAGGAAATTGATTATCATACATACTGCATTTCTAAATCCAGTCTTGCTGGCAGAACATTATGATTTTTTACTTATTTCATATTAATGACTTTTATTTTTGAGAAAGATGATAATATACAAACATTATAAATTCTGTGGCAGATGTCTAAAATGTCTTCTACAATGTCTTTTGTGCTGTTTTGATAAGCTTCAGTCTTTTCATGTTTTTGTGTGTGCATCAGTATAACTAGAGTCACAACTTTGAAAATACCATATTACTTTCTATTCTGTTGAAGGCAGGTCCAAAATTTTAATTTTTTATCAAAATGCAATTGAAACACAGCGAAATAGCTCTCAATTTACAACTTAACAAAGCTTAAAAGCTTATTAGAGATCAGGATTAGATAAAACTGCAGTGAAGTCGGTATAATTACGAATCCATTACCTATGAAGACTGTTTAAAATCAGTTTTTTACTTTAGCGACCACTTGATGCAACATCCTTTCTCACGAAGGTGCAGATACTTATATTATTAGGGAAGTAAAAAAAGAAACATAGAAGAATAATATTTATTTCACAATGTTAAGGAAAAGAAAAAATAACAAGTTATGCATATTATCACAGAATATAAAATTCATATTTTAAATAATCCCCAATAAACAAGAATTTACTTTTTAAAAAGAAAGCAAATGAAAGTTTATTTTAAGAAGCTTTTATTTTTCTTGCAGTTCTTTTACCCACCTTATTTCGGATGGGTTAGTGGCACTTAACTTACAGCACATTTCACTGAAAATGTGACCTCTTAAAAAAAAATGGTTACAGTGTTTTTATAAGATTTGTTCACATTTATTTGTCAAAAGGCTGTTTCTACAACAAGAAGATTTATGGACAAGTACTACATTTTTGTTTTAGTTTAATGCTAAAGAGACTACACATTTGAAAATTATAAAGAAAAGCAGCTGCACTTGGGCATAGATTTTCAATTCGGTTTCAAGAGCAGACAGGTCTGTTTCAGAATGGAGAAAGAAAATTACAGAAGTCAGAGAAGCAAGATGATTTTACATGGAAAAAAATGTGATATATGGAGCAAAGCAAAAACAAACAGCATGATCTGTTTAGGAAAAAACAGTGGCTCACATTTATTTTCAGACCCTTGTTTTTTTAAAATTCATTAATTCGTTTGCATAAATATTAAAATGCAGACTTCAAATTTTTCTAATATTTTTTTTTCCTATTTTAAACCATGTTTGTTATAAATTAAAAATCAAAGTATTCCTTGCAGTAAAATATTTTATTAAAGAAGTGTTAATCTGGAACTCTCTTATTAATTCACTTAAATTTTTTTTTTTAAATGTTTCAGTAGACAGTGTTTCGTGTTGCAATTTTGTTAATGAAAATGCATTGCAAAAATTTGAGCATAGGAAGATATAAAATTAACAGCCATTTCTGTTAGAAATTTAATAATTTATCTTTTTAACAATAGTAAAAATATTCAAGATATACATAAATATCTTTAATGTAAAGCATTCAACTATGTGTGATGTTATAAAATGGCACAAATTGCATGGAACCATTGAAAATGCCTTGAAGTCTGGACCCTTTTACAAGCTAACACTAAGGAATTGCAGGTTTATTCTAAGAAAATTAAACAAGAGTCAGAAATTAGTGTTGTAAAATGTTCAGCAGGTGTAGAAGAATAGTTTGTAATAACTCTGAAGCTTTTATACAGTGGGTGATAAGCAATAAGAAAATGTTTAGTCAACAAGAAAACTTGGGGTGGTTATTATCAGTTATATATCATGAGGTAATATTTGAATTTTTTACAGAATGAACTTTAAAAATTTAGTGTCCCTAATGTATCTTTATTTAAATCTGCATGTTTATTGTCTTGTTATAGTATAATTTCTTATCAAAGCAGAGTAAAATCTTTTTGTTCAGGATGTCTTGGCTGTATATCAATTAAGGGGGAAATTCTAAATGTATACAAGTTCTTAATATTTTCAAGAACTTTGTGTATGGTGTTCATGTATAGTTGGTATGACAATCTGTATTAGAAACTTGAAATTTGTGAAGTATTTAAAATTTTACTCCCCTTTCCCGAAACATATCCTTAACTTTGTTCGATAATGTTAGTGTCATTATTCTTTATAAAAATTATAATTATATCAATATTTTATTTTCTTTCCAAATATAATCAAGTGTTAGTTCTTTTTGTTAATATTATACATACATTTTTTTAAAGTGCCCCCAAATGGACTTGTAATTTACTGCGGAACTATAGTTACGGAGGAAGGAAAAGAGAAGAAGGTCAACATTGACTTTGAACCATTTAAACCTATTAATACATCTTTATACTTATGTGACAATAAATTTCATACAGAAGTAAGTATTTTTATGTTCATATCTATTTCATGGTTCATGTTGTATGTTTGAAAGCAGCCTTTTTACAGAACTGTATACTGAATGCACTGTTACTTTTACATACCTACAAAGTTTCCCTGTTTTTCATCACATCCCTTAGTAGTAAACAGAATTTCATGGTTTAATAATTTTTATCTTTCACCAAGGAAAATGTTTCTGAACATAAATGAAATTAAAAAAGCTCAAATTGGTAAATTTCCTTTCTATTACCCATAGTGACTTTCGGAATTTTTCTTATTGAATTCTAGATAATCATGTATTATGCAGTCTATCACTTTTAGTAAAGTTATTTTTTTTTTAGATGGCCTTGGAAATGCATAGTTAATACTACGGTTCTTCCCCTTCCCCTTCAGTAACAGGCTACGTTTTGTTTATACTTATGCCATATTTCCTGTTTCCAAGTATGAAATAAATTTCTGCGTTACATGATTTATGGCCATCGGTGTATAAGATCGTTAAGTAATGGGTTTGTGATTAAAACTTTGTCTGTGAGATTTTCAAGTTGCATTTTAATTGTTGCTTATTAATGCAGGAAATTGTTAGAAATATAAGAAAACAGGCCATTCATATTCCTTTGTTTCTTGCTGATGTGTGGTTGAGAAGTATTTCCTGAACTTCTAAAATATCTTACTGAATCCTTTAGTAACCATTAATTACAAATTATGGTTGTTTATTTTGTCACGTGAAACTAATATTAAAATTATGTGATCATGGGGGTAAAAAAAGAAGGAGGGGCCAAACCCGCAGTATGACTGAAGCACTGCTCTGAGGCTTCGGCCTCGAGATGGGATGTTTTTTTGTTTACATTCAGAAGTTCCTTTTACAGCGCTCTGATAGTGTTTTGACACATGACAGTTCCATGCAAATCGAAAAACAGGACACTTCCGCATAAAAGAAACATCATGTTTGGATAACAGCAATTTATAGTTAGTGCATTTAGCAAAATCACATCTGGTATTTTCGATAACTAACAACAGCGATTTTGATGTAATTTTAGAAAATTCTAGCTTGAAACAGAATATAGATTTTAGCAAAAATGTTATGCCTAATGAAAAATTCCCTTAGTGACATTTTAAAAGTAAGTCTTTGTACCCTGCTAGAGTATTCGCTATTTTATTTCGTCAACGATAATGAAGCAGAGGCATTAAAGATTGCAATGTTGAAAATGAAAAATATAAAATGTACAGGTATTTATCCAGATGCTTGCAAAAAGCATGTATCTGCTGTAAAAAATACGTAACGTAAATATTTACTAAATTATTTATAAATGGCTGAAATGAAAGATGTATTTCATTAACTTCTGAAAAACTTATTATTAAAATCTAAATTTTTAATGATTATAAATACTATTAAAATATAATGGAATTAACATTTTAAGCAGACGTTTGTGCTAGAAAGTAATCTGTTTAAAAGTTATTGTAAAGCAAATTCTACAGATGCGTACTTAATGAAGTAATAAAGAAGAGTTTTAGAATATGTATTGTTGGAATTAAGGGTAAAAAAAAATTCTGATAAGTATAGTTAAAAGCATTATTTCCTTACGTTATATAATAACTCAGTTACAAGTTTCAAGTAATATTTTTAAAAATAAATCTTTTTTTTTTTATTCCTTTACAGAAATATTTAGCGAAAGTTAAGTACATGGAAATATTTAATGTATTTCCCCATTAAAATATTTAATGTATTTCACTATTAAAATAAAAGGTACTCTAATTTGAAATGTACCGAACAGAGCATTAATTATAAACTGACTGACTTAGATTTTTCGATTTAACAGATGTCTCAGAAGCAAAAAATTCATGTCATATTTGAGAACGCATTTTAGGTAGAAGCTCAATTACATAAAAGAAATATACTAATTTAATCTAATGATACAATACCTTCGTCTTAATTTTGTAATCCTAACCGAATAAAATCAAATTACCTTAAAATTTTTTTCTAATGTAATAACCGAAAACTTTTGAAAGTATTTCATTCAAATTAAACTATTCTCTGAAAATTATAGCATTTAATTCCTTTCAGAATGAAATGTTTAAAAATATATTCTTTTCACATACTTTTAGGGCTCTGAAATATTGTAGAAAAGAAAATATTTGCACTTGTATGTATATTTACGACATAATTACAAAATATTTACATCCGATTGTGTCAAAGGTAAGACACTGAATGTTTTGGTCATCATGAAGAGATCGCCAGTGCTTCAAAGCAGTGTATAGGGAAAATGGGTTAAAGCCTTTCCTTCCTTACTTCCTACCGTCATGATGCTGATACTTTCAACATGGTCATTGTGACTAGCGTATTACATGTTTCTTCGCTGATAGAATAGTGATAAATGTTTTTTTTTTTTTTTCACTTGGTGATTATGGCCTCAAAAAATCAAAAAAGTTCTTGTTATTAATCAGATTTGTGGATCGTCTAGCATCGTGGCTGTAAGCATTCTGAACAGATGTGATTGTAAAAGGAAGTGATATCGGTATTAATTCTGATGGTGCTAAAAGGGATGAAAGCAGTGGTGCAATGAATTCTGATAGTTATCTTATGAAAATCATATCGTTCAATGCAAAATTTACACAAAATATTCGGAAATAGTGGATAAATATTCATAGGTCATATAAGGTGCAGTGGACCTTTCAAGTTACACCATTGATCACAAAATGCACAAAATTACTTGTTTAAAGGTACAGCTGTAGAAACTCCAACAATGTGAAAAAAAAAGGATGAAAGACTATTTCAGTATTTAGAAAAACTATTTAGCACAGCTTATATTGCAAGGCACAGTAAGCCATTTTCTGATTTTAAAGATTAAGCTGCTTTAATAAATTAAAAGTAGGTATTAGTCTCAAGTGAATATCAGAATGACAAATAATGCAGAGAGTTTAATTTTCATAATGGTTACCATTATGGAGGTTATAGCCAAAATAAAATTAGAATGTTGTGTTAGCATTCTTTCGCATGCAACAACTGATAAATCTGCTGAGGAAAAACTGCTAATATATGTTATAAGAGATAAGGCTATAAAAAAAAGTTCCATTCAATTGTACCTATTAACTTTCCTTCAGCATTAGGTAACTGTGAAATTGTGAACTGCAGAAGTTAGTTTCTCGGGCAGAAACTGAATAGTGGGGCTTGGAAACAGATGACGTTTCAAACATTAGTTTAGAAAAAGGGGACTAAAAAGAATTTGTAACAACGCACTGTCTTGCACACAAATTAAATGTTGTTTATGATTCAATAAAAGACACAAAATATCTTGATGAACTAGATGATGTTTATGATGAACTGTCACTGTTTTGTTAGCTGTGTCTTGATATGTTTACTGTTATCTTCATGAACTGTATGTACAATTATGGTGCAGTGTTTGTCGATACAAATGGAAAACTTTTGATTAGTCTTAACTTAGCATTTCTTGGTAGATTTCCTTTCCACATTAAGGAACTTCCTGAGATTTTTCAAGCAGGGTAGAAGTTTTTATTAATAGGGCAGTCTGAAGAGTTTGAATAACTTAAAATCTAAACCAGACACGTATGAACAACAGTTGTCAGTTAAACAAGTATTAATGTGAGGCTTACAAATATTGATTGTCGTATTTTTGATTTGGACAAGCAGAAAATAAGTTCACATGGAAAAGTACTCTAAGAAAGTTTTTGACATTAGGATGTAGATCAAGGCAAATCCTGTCTTTGGTACTTTCATGTGGCCTTCTGACAATTTGGAAAGTTACAGAAGGGATGAAAATGTGACTTTTTGTGGTAACTTTGAAGGCTGTCTGTCGATTCAGCCTCATCTGTTCTAAACCTTACTATCCACTTTCATTCAGTTGAAAATCTTGAAATCTTTACGGTATGATTGGTACAAATTTAAAATTTTAAGACCATGCAGAAAAACATTAGTTACTTTCTAAAGCAAATTCATTTCCTCTTCACAGTTATTGTCAATATCCACAGATTCCTCAGCATTTTGCATGAGATTTTAGTCAAACGAGTCTCGTTAAAACTGATCTTAGAACATGCATAGACAACGTGACGCTGGATCTTGTAAGGATTAAACTTAGTGGATCTTTACCAATAGACAAAGTCACAAAAGCAATAGACTTTGTTTTTTGGAAGCAAAACATCAAGATGTATTAGTAATGCAACCAAAGAATGTCTGAAAGTATAGGTTAGATTAAAATGATGTAGATGAGAGACTGTGTAAAATGTTAACAGCGTTGCAATGATTTGTACTGGTAAGCATTTATTATTTTGGGGCAAAGGGGTGGCAACCGGAATACTTTCTTTTCTTCTGGATTTTTGAAATTATTCCAAGTCTTAGACATGTTTCTGTAATTGAAATATTACAATGTCTGAATTTGAATTTTCGTTTAAATGAATGTTTCTAGAAGTAGCTGTTAAAATTAATTCAGCAGGTATTTTGCTGTATTGTTTTTTTGTTCCTGTTGAAAATGTATGCGATTGTTTTGGTAAAGAGAAGAATGTTGCATGTTATAATATCCATATGAAACACAGTAAAATTCTGGTAATCGGTGTCTGTTGGCTTGGAACGTATACTAATCTGGCAAGCTTGTCTTCTCTGTTTCAAAAAAAAAAAAAAGCATGGCAGTCATTTCTTTCTTTTTTTTTCTTTTTCCTTTTTTTTTTTTTTTTTTTAAGCTTTGTGTTCATAATATTGTTTTCCGTTTAGCCGGCGCAAATCTCACCAAGCAGACTTTATTGGCAACAACATACAGTATACACATAAAAAATGTTAGTTCAAGAATTTTTTATTTTAAAGGTATAAACATTTTAATATTGTTTAAAATTTTGTAAAAAGTTAATAATGAAGACAGTTTGTAAAAAGACATTAATTTAAGAATTTGCTATGCTCTTATGGTTTTAACATCCTGATTCGCTGGTTTATATCGCGTGACCCCAAGTGGTCTCATCTTGTGTAAACTACACTACAAAAATATAATTCTCTTAGTT